AGTTAGCATTCCATCCTTTTCCTGAAATTAGAATTGCTATAGAAACATCTTTATTTGTATACCATGCTGCTGAAAGATTAAGGTCTCTTTGAAATTCCTAGCCTAAGGGCACATAATTTGGGCATGTGAAGGTGACAATAGGCATCGATTCCTGGTGGAATTACTGATCCCAAATTCTTAACAAATTATTTTGAAAATTCAGTTTTAATTATTATTTTTCTATACTCCTACCTAGATAGATTTACAGTCAAATTTCCTATGTTATAAGGGGGCTGAAATAAACTGAGTGAGATTTTACTGAGGTATTCTTCATCTTTTTTTCAGAGTATATAGGATAGTTGCTTTCCCAAGGCACATGGAGTGACTATTAATATGGCCTCGCAGTATTTGATGCCTTAATTCCCTATACTTTTTCCTCCTTAATTTGAGATTTTTTCTGTTTCTGAGATCATTATGCGGACTATTTTAGATTCTTAAGAAATCTTGCCCCTACTTTTGATGAACTTACGCATCTGAAAAACAATCAACAACAGGAATTATGTTTAACAGGTAACAAAAAAGAAAGGAAATTGCCTTATTTATCACTTAATTGTAAAGAATATAAAAGTATCAGGTCAGTGGAAGCAGAGATGGAAAAAGCACTTCAACCAGTTCAGAATCTGACATGTTGTGTGTTGTCAGCTTCAGTCAAGAATTGTTTAAAAAGGAGCAAAACAAACTGAAGATAGTTCTGTCCTAACAGATTATAGTCTTTCCCTTCTTGTTTGTGTCACAACAGTGCTAGGTAACTTTAATTTGTTCATGCGCCTGTTCATTCAGCACAAAGCAGAATTCGCATTTAGGATTGCTGACTGCAGGGACAATTGGCCTACACACACAAAACTTTCCAAAAGCTGTTTCCCCAGCTGGAAATGGGGTGCTTTGCACACTGCTGCAGGACATTCTGTAGCTCTGTAACGAAACTATCTAATAGTTTGCTTTCTATTCTTGCATTTCTTAAACACCAATATTGCTGAGCATCAAGCTTGCTATATGCTTACACCAAAAGTAAGGGACGGTTTCTGAGGAAAAAGTGTTTTCTTTTTAGTGTTTAATAAAAATTAGACGTACTTTAAGGAAAGGTAATGAGGGCTTTAGATCCTTCAACACACAACAGCAGGGAGCTGAATTAGCACTGTAAGTGGGACAGACCCATTGCTTAAGACACAAACTCGTCAGAACATGGCACTGAAGAACGTATCGCACGAAGCAATCTCACGTTTGCATGGCAATGGATCAGAGCCAGAACAACAAAACTTGTATAACCTTAGAAAAAAAAAACTATCATTAGAAACACATCCATTTTTACATAAGTGACCTAATTGTAAGAGGTGTTATAAGGTAGGTGACTGAAAATACGGCCTCTTGAAAAATCAAGCATGAATTCATTGCAATAGTACTGCCCTCACCTTCACTTTACTCTCCATGATCAGCACTCAGAGACAGAAGCAGTTACCCTCAGTTACTCCTCAGGACAAGCTACAGAAGAAAATCCCAAAGCTTTTTTTGCCTGGCAGGCAAAACTGAATGTTACATTTTCCACATGGCTGTCAGAGAGAAAAGAATTTGGAAAGGAAAATGGAGAGAGGGAGAGAAGAGAGGAAGGACACAGGGAAATTAGCAGGTAAATTAATCCATCCTTTAAAAGGTAAGTTCATAAGAACCTAGCACTGCTGTAAGGAAAGCTGGTACTTTGCCGCATAGGAGAACTTTGGTGAACTAGCCTGTATAAAATTATAGAGGTTATTATGTTTGTAGCCTCCTTGCTGTGCATTCTTCCACAGAAGTGCTTGCACCTGCTGTGTGTGGCCAAATAACATGAATTAAAAATGCTGCACAGCGACGAAGTTCAGTTTCAGATGAAAATACCTCAGAACTGGCTGGCTATTAACACCTCAGTATCTCCAGTGGACACCATCTCAGCTTCTCGCTGGGCTGCTGATAACTTAATGTAACCAGGAAAAATATCGTTAGCTCCATGGTGCACCAAAAACCTGGCTAGAACCATCAGCTTCCAAAGGCCATGGAGGAAACAGCCCAGGCCACTGCCCGAAGGAATAACCTAGGGCTGTAATTTCCCCACACTGGCCCCCAAAGTACAGCACGTACACCCGTCTGCCTTACAAATAAAGCACATGGTACAAGGACATGCTTGCCACAATGGCCACAAGATCCTAAGCCATTGTGCAGGAGCCACTGGCCTTAGGGATAATAAAACTTGGTTAGACAACAAGCACAGGAGGTAACCGACGCCAGGTCAGAACAGAGCTGTTTTATGGGTAGCTGTATATTAGTTTTAGGACAGGTCTACTGGCAGGTAGTGCCCTAAATTATGTCCAGGAGACAGGTGAAGTGAGACAAGTGGAACGGACAATAAATGCCAACTGCTGCAGGAGAGGTTTATGGGGCCAGCAGTGGTTTAACATTTGGGCAAATGTCTCAGACATGCTAATTTTCTCCTCCTTGCTCTGCCTGGGATGACCAATTAGCTGTAACCAACACAGCGCAAATTTAAAATACCAGGTATCAAATCCTTCTGGAGCCCAGCTCACAATCAGTTCTGCAGGTAAACACGTTCAAAAAAATGCCACGTAACGCTGAACAACGAGTAAATACAAGGAAATTGCAATCTGCTCACATTCTGTCAAGTAAATTAATTGCTCAGTTCTACTTTATTAGGGGACCTTTATGGTTGTGGGCCAGCCTGCCTTGCTAAAATCCTTTGATCACTCTTAATACTGGAAGCCCTCTTTTGTGAGGCTAACTTAATACTGTTGTATTCATGCAGCCTAATCTGAGTAGGTGCTAAGTGCTTTGCCAGCAGAGTTGTTGCCGAGTGTGGAGGAGAGATCATTCTATTTATTCAATTTTATACCCTTCAATAGGGTGGACTTCTTTGTTTACATGATAAATTTCTTAGCTGTCATTTTTTTTCCCCTCTCGGTTTTATGTATTATACTGTGTTCTGTCATTTTGTTTTTCTGTTTCTCTTTATCAGAAATTTAAGTCGTTTCAGGAAAAAGCTGATCTTAAATCTTTTGGGCTTCAAAATTAGCTGTTGCCTAAGCTATCACACATGCAGGTCAAAGTTTAAAGGCTGATCCTACATCCAGAGAATTCAATACCAGAAGTCCATTTGAGACCAAAGAGGCAAAAAAAAATGCAGATCCAAGACTGCAACTTGCCTCTTCAATTTTATCAGCTGCAACACAAATTGTAAACAAGACACTACATGCATTAAAAGTAAAAGGAAGCTGTGGTCTTGCCACGAGACACCGCCCAGTGCCAGCAGCCACAGAAAGGCGGCCACTCTTCATGGGAAATCCGGGACACAGTGAAGTCCCTGAACTACCATTGTAGGGCCAGGATTTCGCCAGGTGACCTCTTTTATTGCTTTCAATCCATCACTTCAAAATGAATTGGAAAGGCGCTTTAGAAAAAACAACAGAAGGAGCAAAACAGGGAAGGGAACCAAATGTTTCCTTCACCCAGAATGTTAACTAAAGCTTGTAATCAGGAAAAATCCAAGGGTCAGCCCTGCAGCTTCGCTTTAATTGTGCTCCTCTTCAGATAAGGATCTCTTATGGGTGTAAATTGCCTCGCACTCCCTGCATGTATAATGTCCAACGGAGTTCGAGAAAGGGCTTGCGGTGTTACTGGAAGAAGAAATCGTGCAGAAGATAATTTTTATCCACATCATAAACTTACTCTGAGCCTTCCACAAATCAGGATATGTACGCAGAAATTGAAGTTGTAATTACAAACCAGTGTGAATATTTAAGAAGAACCAAGATAAGTCTCATATCCCAAAAAGGGAGGTTTCACCTTTGTTCAAATAAATTTGAAGTATTCTTTGTTATCCTCGGAAATAAGATCAAATGAACCACAACTGCCACATGTGGGTGGCAAAGAGAGGCAGTCTCTAACTAAGGGGATTACTGAGTTCATACAAACGATGTGAGCGCTTTAAGTACATCTTTCTCAGGAGTCACAGTGACATTCCTCGCTTTTTTTAATTTTATCTTACCGGATTTGCTATTTTCCCTTCCTTATACCAGCCCTAATCAATGCTGCAGGTCAGGTTGAAAGAATGGACAGCCCTAGAGCCACATACATTTAAACCACTTTGATGCAAATATTGATCCAAAGAGCATAGACATGTGGAGGTGCTGCTTTTTTTAATGGACAAGCTTTCCCCCTCCCTTTCTCCCTCCCTCTCTCCAAGGTTTGCACTTCATGAGATAAAGCAGAACTGTCTGCCCAAGAGCAGGAATGAATACATGAATTAACAGATCCAAAGATAGACCAGCCTCAACGATAAATTCTGTTAAATCCAGAAAGCAAGATGCCATCTGCATGAAATGCAAGTGAGTTTCATGGCCTTGCTTTCTCAAGCGTTTCCATTTTTTCATTCACACTTTCTAGTGAGGGTACGTTGGCAGACAACATACGCAGTGGTGGGAGAGAAGCAGTGCTTCATGTCGGCGTGATCGGTGCTGCTGACACAATGTCCACCATGGCTCTGTGCTTAATTCCCATGTACACAAGGCTATCAAAGCGTTTTATTAGAAAGCCACTGTCCATGGCTTATATTTAGAAACAGAGAGCGAGTCCAAGCCGCAATCCAAAGACGAGATCAAGGGAAGGAAGGAATTCTAAGGACCGCTTTGAAATTCAACACTAAAAAGATCTGACATTCTTCTATCTGTAGGCATTTTTAGGCTGGACTGAAAATAAAAAGAAAACCTGTTTGTACAGAGAAAGCTTGCCTGGCCCTGTGCCAAGACAGGAAGTCTATCAAAGCTGGGCAGTGTTTGAAAGCAACAGAATACTAGAACCAAAAAAAGAAAAGGGGGGGGTGAGAGAAACTAGAGTGAAAAGAGTTACTTCTACATTGACTTTTTTTTTTCCCCCTCAGATTGTTGCATGCCCCTCGTGCACAGGGCTGTTGCCAGCTTTACCTCTGCTCCCCGTCCGCTGGGCTCAGGCTGCCGGTCTCCATCGTGTGTGAGGAGGATGCGGGCGCGAGCCTCCACATCTGCACCAACACAGGAGGAATCGGTGCACCTCTGGGCACAACTGCCGGATCGCTAGGGTATAAATCAGGTTGGGTGGTCAACAGCAAACGTAAAACAGCCCCCATGTGTGTTTATCAGAAACACTAAGGCCTGAAGATATCTCCGATGTGTCAGGGGAGGATTTCTTTTGTGGTGAAGAGCCGGGACACATCCACAACACACGGGCACATGCTTATAGCAACACAGGGAATGTTGTCGTTCAGCCTTTGACCTTGGAAGACCATTAATACCTAACAGATGCTGTCTGTTTTTTAAATTCCTTATTTCCCCCCCCCCCCCCCATCTTTTTTTTTTTTTTTTTTTGAATTTCTGGCTGTAGTATATTCAGGTACAAATGGTGCTGTCATCTTGAGCTACAAGTTAGAAAGTTATTACTTTTAATATGCCACTACCTTAGGCCTCCACTGTTATGTAAAAGAAAAATAACCTTGTGTGACAGTTTAACATTGATCGATGTGCCTGCCAAATGCAAAGAGATAAATAAGCAGGTGATGAATAAACAGCACTTCAAGTAAAGACATTACGCCGCATGCATAAAACGACGCCAGGCACCTAGGAGCTGTGGGTGGCCGAAGGTTAGCCATTTCATGCCCACTCAGTAAAGCAGACTTAATCGCTTCCAATATTTTCTGTTAAAAAGCACGCTTAATGAGCCAATTTCACAAGCCCAGAGAAACTGATTATTATCTCCGAGTTCCAACTGAGTTGGTTGTTTTCCAAGAGCCAGTTTTTCCTTGACGGGATAAAAACCTTTCAGAAAAAGGGAAGGGGAAGGCGCGGGGCCGAGCCGGCGCGGCACTAGATGGCAGCGTTGCTCTGCCGGGAAGCGAGGCCGGGGCTCCTGGGAGCCCCCATCCAGCTCCTCGCCCTTCCCTCTGCCTCCCCGCCTGCCAGGCCCTCCTGGGCAGCACCTGCTGGGCCGGTGGCCTCGCTGCCCCTGTCCCCGGGGAGCAGGGGTGTTTCCCAAAACCCAAATTCACGCGGTTGGCCACAGGGCGAGAGCAGTGAGGGCAGCGAGGCCGCGGCCCTTGCCGGCCGCCATCCTCCTTGTGCCTCCTGGCCTCCTTGATGCCGGCCGGTTTCGGGGCAGCGGGCATCTCGCCACAGGGCGAATCTGAATTTGGCTCCACCAAGGACCTGTCTCTCACTAACTCTGAGCAATCCCAATTTCCCGGGGCACTCCTTTTGGGAAAGGAAAGCCAGGCCAGACTCATCCGTGCAACGGCAAAGGGACGCTGCACTGGGGCAACCGTGTCCCTTGCAGGGGGATGGCGATGTGCCACCCTCCAGCTGCACAGCACCACTGGAAAAGCCCCAAAAAAGGCCCAAAGCAAAAGAGAGCGAGCCCCCAAACCTGGGATTGTTGTCACCAGCAGCAGTTAGTCAATCGCCGCGTAGGAAAGAAAGCCCAGTCAACTAGACCCCGGCATATAATTAACTCATCTATCAAAAAAAAAAAAAAATCAAATTGAAGTGAACTGTTGTTGGGCTCTAAATCAGAAGCCAAGTTAATTATTTTTTATGAATATTCATAGGAAACTTGTACAATTTCCAAACTAGACTTCAATTACTAATCAGTTAACTAAATAACTGGTATTTCTCCTACTTCTCAGGAAAAACTGATTTTTAAAGGAAACAGACAAGCAGATAGAAATGTTTTAAAGAGCAGGAGATATTGTTGGAAGCCATATGGTAGAAATCCGCTGTTTATATTGCAGATGCAGCTGTAACCCATCTTGTTTGGGCTTTACCTTCCCTATGCCCTTGCTCAAATTTGCTGCTTACTGTAAGGGCTGGCAACTGACCCCCAAAGCAAGGGACCACGGAGTATTTGGTTCCCCCCATGGGAGGAACAGCCCTTGCCACGTGCACACCCCTCTCGCAAAACGCAGGGACAGAGGTGTATGTCTCTGGCAATTCACCTTGCCCAGTCTCACGGATAACACGAATTACCCAGGGGCTGAGACACAACTGGGAAACCCTGTGATTATGCTGTAGATATGCCCACACAACACATTTTGGTCAGGAATATAAAAAAATACTTAGGAAATAAGTATGCAATTAGAAATAAGTCACCAGGTCTTCAGTGAACACTTTTGCAGAAAAGCACATCTTTGAGGTGTTAAAGATGGAGGCTAAGGGTATCTGGGCAGCCTCTACCACTCCTGCACAGCACGGCCAGCCATGCAGGGCTCAAAAACTCAATACCACGTCATGCACGCCTCGTGCATCTCACTGCATAAAGGTCATTTTAATGCCCTCCTCATTTGGTGATAAGGTGGTGAGAAACCATCGGCAAATACTTTAAAACATTAATCAATAAATTGCAATGGTGCAAGCCCACGTTGTGCATTCCCCAAACACAGAGAGCTGGGTGCTCACACTGACGAAGCTCCAGCTCTTAGGAGGGAACAGCGACTTGTTCCTTCCTTCGCTCCAGGCTGGTGCTGACTTGGAAATGGGCACATCCCAGATGACAGAGCCTAAAAAACACAAGCTACTTCTGGCAGTATAATATATGGCAGATATATGCATCTGGGCTTAAATCTGTGGAAGATTCGTAGGCATCTAGTATCTACTAAAATCAGTTACCCCATGGGTAGCAAAGTGCTTAAATACCTTTGAGGATCAGGGCAGTGGTAAGCTGGGCCATTCTGCTAAAGAAAACATGCTCCAGGAATATTTGTGTGGTCTACGTTAGCCCTATGAATTGAGGAGGTCTCCCATGCATTTTGCCAATTTAAGGCAGATTGTGATTGGTTTCTGACCCAACCAAGAGATAGATTTGATGAAATAAGACTGGTAAAACTCACTTTAGGACAAAGGTTGATTTGATAATCATAATTACATTTCCACTATATCTATTTTCTTAAGTGTTAGTAGATTTATTAGACTTTTCCTGTATAACCTATGGCTGATTTGCAGCTTCCTTGGCAATTTCTTAGTAGGCAGTAGCAATTTCTTATATCTTCAGTAATGTCTTGAATGTACATTTTTTATATTAATGATCTCACCAGGAGAAAAAGTGTACCGTGAATGCATGATGGCCATATGGAAAAGACAATGAAGTTTAGTAATTAAAACTGAAAAGGGAAAGAACTATGCAGTAATTAGAACACTGATTAATCAGCTGATAATTTTATCTTGATTAATGCTGCTGATTTTCCTCTTCTTATTGACCTAGGAAAGGTAGGTTTAGACCAATTAAATATAAATTATTCCCTTTTTTCACATTCCAGGCAGATTCCAGTGTTCTAAGTCATACTATGTTTAAGATGTAGCACTGAATTGCTCTTACTAAATTGGGCAGCTCAACAAAAGGTAAAATAAGGTTTATGTTCCAAACATGCTGATGCTTTCATCTAAAGCAGAATTGGACAGAATTGGTTATTTCACTATTATCTAGGGAATATTAAAATTAGATTAAATTGCAGTGGAAAAAAATAAAAAGACTTTGCCTGTTTTAAAGCCATAACTGTAGGAAAACTAAAAGGATTCATTCGTTTTATTAGGCCCAAGATATGGATGCATAATGTAGTCCTGAAACTTAAAGGAAGGGTTCCGTATTAATGCTCAGATTTCTCTTCATATGCAGAACTTTATTGTTCAAGGGGGAAAAGTGTTGCCAGCACCAATCCCAGTCCCAAATCTGTTCACAAACCGTAAACAACAACACCTATTCTTGTTTTCCCATACACATTTAGGGGATTAAAGCTACTTATTTCAAGTCCTGCAACAATGGAAGGAATTTTATGTACAGTCGCATTCCATTGCATTCATATGTGAATCGGTATTTCAGGTGGAAGACAACTGCTTTACAGGCACCAAATCTATCCTTTTGCAGCTGCAGAATGCAGACACCAATGTTAAAGATACTACACCTTCTCAAAGATAAGTAAAGAAAAGCTTTCATGAAAAATACAGGTCCCTTAGTATGAAAATTCAGACGAAAACAGCGCTTGCTAGCCATGTGCTTTGACTTGCTATGGCAGGAAAACACAGCAGTCCATAGAAAACAAAGCCATGGCCATTTCTTTAGAGACCACTTTCAACGATAGTGTGCACTGTGATTCCACACTTGCCAGCCAACTTTGGTTTTATAAGCTGACGTAGGACTTCAAGATCAGCGAAAGTGTGAAAAGGTAAAGGTACAAAACACACGTCTCTAGTGCATTGCTTCTTGGCTGCTTTCTCTTCGCTGGATTTTCAGGTAGCAGAGAACAGGCGTACCCATGTGTGATGCCAAAAATGCTGCTGTTTAGCCAACATTTTAGAGAGAAAGGGGAATTCCACAGACCCTGAGTGAAGAATTTCATCTGACAAGAGGCTCCTTTTCTGTCCACCATCTTAAACACTTTTTCCAGTTTTGTCCCTACTGTATAACAAAAGGGCAAGCAGAATTACATATTGCAAGTAAGTTATCCAATTGATTAACACTTCCTTGCTTTTCCTGTACCTTTCATAAAGCAACCCTTTCCCACTCTTTGTGGAATGTGAATCTAATTCTGCAATCAAGTTTTCAAGTGTTTGACCACTCATAAAAATCATGTAATGTTGTTTTCTCTCTTGGATGGAATTACTCAGCAGGTCATAATGAATGACAAAAAAAAAAAAAAAAAAGACCAAGCAGTACAAAATGTTTTGTTTGAATATAACTAACTTGTTAACAAGCACATACAGGTGTGTATAAGAGAAACATATCTTCCTGAAGCAGAAGTAGCCAAAAGAATATATATATTAAAAAACAAACAAACAAAAAAAAAAAAAAAAAAAACAGAATTGGTGAGTTTTCATGTTATTAGATCAACTCCATTCATTACCGTGTCTTTCTGTGTCAACAGAAAAAGCACTTCTGTGTTCTCTAGCAATGGTGTGAAATAAATGATCCCCTGGTTTGGACCAAATCAAATGAGTGAAAATGGATGGATGAGCCATGACGTAGCCAGCACTTCACCACTGCATCACTCATCCAAACCCAAAGTAGGCTGATTGTGCAAAAAAAAAGAGGGGCG